CAATATCTATATTAGTATATTACTACTATAGTATATTAATATATTATTATTATTATTTTATTATATATTATAATTTATAAAATTTAATGTTTAAAAATATAATAAATTTTTTATATATAATAATTTTATATTATTTTATATTTCAAACAATAACGATTCGAACACGAACGAACGCATCACTGTTCGTGTTTGGTTCGTTTAACTAACCGAACGAAAAAAATTTGTTCGTGTTTGTCTCGTTTACTTATCGAACGAATCGAACACGAACTCGTTGACGAACCGAACACGAACTGTTCGCGAACAACGAGCTTTTTTGACAGCCCTACTTACCTGTGAATCAAGCTATCCAAAATTTGGTTGAGCAGTTTGATTCATTTTAAGATAAAATTATAACCATTTATTTTAAATCAAATGGCTTAAAAAAATTAAAAACTTGACATATAATTTAAAACCTAAATTTACAAAATGAAATTTTAGAAGCATTAGCCCATCAAATTGCTAATCTTGTCTGCTTTTGCCGGTTTTTAATTAGCCTCTTCCATTCAAATTCAAATGACTTAAAGAGTTTAGTAGTTTAAGTATAAAAGACCGTTGAATTTGAAATTAGATAAGATATCTCACATGTATATTTAATATTTCATAAATTAGTTCTCTTTATTTTTCTCCCATCTTTACATTATTGATATTTTATATATTTAATACATCAATAATTTTAATATTTAAAAAGATTTAAATGCATACCACTCAATTCTTATGTATTTACATAATTAATGCCTAAATTTTAATTTTTACATAAATATATTTATGAAAGCCTAAGTATTTCACTTATTTTTTAGGTTAAAATATTGCTATTTTTAATGTCAAATTAAATATTTGAGTGGTATAAATTAAAAAAAAAAACAAACTTTAAGCCTTAGATATGCAAATACATAAAAATGGGGAGGAATGTATGCAAATGCCCCTAGTATTAATTACGTTACTAATGTGCAAAACTCATTTAAATTTAAGCTGAACCTTTAAACTTCCAACCTTTACTTCTTTAATCAAATTCATAAACTCAACAAAAATATCAACCAATTCTAGGACACCTGATGCAACGTGATGCAAATTTACATCAGATGTCCAATAATATGGGGTCATGTGGCAATTTGGGTCCGGTGACATACATGCTTCATGCCGAGTTGTCACGTGACACCTTATTATTGGACACCTAATACAAATTTGTGATGCAATAATTAAGCAACAAGAAGAATGGAATAGAACTTGAAAGAAGAGGAACTCACCATGGAGGAGAGAGGAGAGACTTCCCATTGGCATGTAATCATACACCAACAGCTTCTCATCCTTGCTGTGGTAATACGCCTGAAGAGGAACAAGGTTAGGATGATTCATGGCGCCTATAGCTTCAATCTTCTCCCTAAACTCCTTCTCAGGCGTATTAGCATCCCTGAGCCGCTTCACCGCCACCATGGCTCCGCTCTCCAACACCGCCTTGTATGTAGTTCCGAATGTACCCTTCCCCAAAACCTCCGCCGAAGCCCTAAGAAGATCCTCCAGATCATAAACCCTCGGCCCATTACCACAAAACACCAACTGCTTCTTCGATCCGATGGATGCCGCCGGAGAAGAAGCAGCAACCTTCGTCGCCGGAGCACCGCGGTTTGTTCCAACAGAATCCAACGTTCCCACATCGGTGAGCGCCACCTCCACCTCCGGCGGCTTTGCTTCAACGGACTTAGCTGCGCCATCTTTTCCTTTCCTCCGGCAAAGCAGAAGCAAAATAACAAGAAGAATGAGAAACAGAGCAATGGTGCCGATAACAATACCGGCAATAGCGCCGCCGGAGAGCTTGCTCCCACCACCGGAGGGTAAAGTTCTAGTTGGAGCTGCTGCGGGCGAGATCTCGCCGGGGCAAAGCCCAAGCGGCCCACCGCAGAGTGACATCCCCATGAAAGAGTTCGCCGGCCAGCTGCGTAGCTTCAACGGCACCGATCCGTTGAGCCGATTAAAAGATACATTGAACTGCACGAGATTGGGAAAGTCTAGCGCCGGGATCTCGCCGCTGAGGTTGTTGTTCTCAAGATACAGCGTCCCAAGCCGCGTGAGATTGTTGATCGCCGGCGGGATAACGCCGGAGAAGTTGTTATTGGCTAGGTTGAGCCGAACCAGGCTACTGAGAGAAAAGAGAAACACCGGGATCTCACCGGAGAAGCGGTTTTCCTGGAGGTATAGGTTACGGAGCTGCTTGCAGCTAGCTAGGTCGGAGGGTAATGGGCCAGAGAGAGCGTTGAAGCGGAGGGAGAGAGTCTGGAGGTTTGAAAGATTACCTAAAGTTCCGGCCGGGATTTCGCCGATGAGACCGGAGCCAGGGAGGCGGAGGGTGACGACGCGGTTGTCGGCACAAGTAACACCAGACCACAGGCAAGGCGAGATGGAGTTGTTCCAATGGAGCACATATCTGCCAACAGCTGCGCCAAAGCTCATAAGGGCGGCTCCATCGCCGGCGAGATCCCCCGCCGCCGGCGATAAGGTAAAAAGAAAGAGAAAAAGGAGGAGAAGGCGAAGCGGCGCATCATCCATTTGGCGGTGAACGCAGCTCACCGTTAAGGAATAAAAGCCATGGAAGCCATGGAGTCCTCGCTTTCTAGCTCTCCTCACTTTTTTAAGGAAAGAGAGAAGCGTTCCTTTAAAAGCTTCACTTCGCCTTTTTCAAAAGAAGCTGCACAACCATCCTTCTTTTTTTTCTAAGGAAGATTTACATGCTACTTTATTCTAAAATATTTATATTTCTAACACCTTAATTTTAAATTTTATATCTATATCATTTTGAAAATGTGTATTTTTTAAAAAAGTTAAAATTGTGTTATTTCTGATGTAATATGAACGAGTAGGGTTAAAAATGTAAAAAAGAAAAGTGTATGTGTTAGTAATGTAAATATATAGGAATTGAAAGCATTATACATATGCGTTCCGTCCTAAAGCTTACTTGAGAAATAAAAAATGTACATACTCATCACAAAGTTTTTGAGCATTGATTCTTATATATATTACATTATATATATATATATATATATATATATATATATATAAAATTACATATTTATTTTATATATTCTTAT